CCACTCTGCGCAAGAAACTCTACACAAGCCGCGTGTACGCAAGTCACCCTTCGCAAGTTAGTCGCTTCCCCTTAACTTTTGGAACGGGCCAACTCTAAACGAAATAGGCTGGCGGATTTCTCGCGCAGGCCAGCCCCAGCCTTACTGCGGTGCGTTCATAGCCCACGCCATCATTGTCAAGCAGTCGAATATCATTGAGAGCTCAAGGAAGAACCCAACACCCCGTGGTCGAACCGCTTTTTTTGCTACGCGCCAACTCCTTAGTAGATAACTTCGGCCCGCCAATCCTGGATCATACCTGGTCAAGCAAACTTGCGTATGAAACGTGTGAAATTTCAGCTCAAGGTTGGTAGTAGGCTTTTTAGTAATACCTAGGGCTTCAAAAACCAGTAAAAATGTCGTACCCTGACTAAAACATCGTGTTTTTCTTGATTTTCTGAAAACATTGTGTTTTCAAAAAAACTCGTGTTTTTTTTAATAAAACCCCTTAAGCATGGGCTTCTGAGTCCAAACACTCATTTGGAACAAAGGGTCAAAGGCAAGGGTTGGGAGTGGAATTCACACAGGCATCACCCATTAAGATTTCAACTGAGGGCAACGCTCTATACTGAGTGTGCTTCAAATTCTAAGGACCACATTGATAAGCCTGACAGCCAGGGTGCGCAGCTGGCTTCAGTCTTTAAGTACCTTCACAGCAACAGGCACCTGAAGACTGGCGTCAGGTCATACCGAACCAGTTTGAAGGAATCCCAAAGCTCTTTTGGTGCAAAACAAGACCAGGTGACACGTTTTGAGATTGTTTTTATGAATTTTGAGGTTTTTTTGGAAAATGGGGCGGGATCCTGGCGGCTAACCGCAAAAGCCCGTAGAAAACCCGTAGAAACCCGTAGAAAACCCGTAGAAACCCGTAAAAAACCCGCAGCCCCAACTGAAAACATTGTGTTTTTGGAAAACATTGTGTTTTCTAACCCGTAGCTAAACAGTGGAAAACCCGTAGTAAAGCGTGGCAAACCGTGGAAATTCTATGGGTTTTTCGGGTTCAACCACGAATGCGCTAATTCGAGAATGCTGCTGGAAATCAACGAAGTCGTGAGCAAAAGCACGGTCTTTGCTTGAGCTTGCGCGCTGTTCGAAGCCAGCACGCCCTCATCATGGCATTGCTGCTTGACAAGTGTCATAAAACCGTGGTACTTTTGACTATTTGGGTCCCCGGCCTCCTTCTTCAGATTGGAGTTGCGAAAGACGAGTGGCGAATGCGAAGCTGATTTCGTTACGAGCGCAAAAGGGGAGGGCAATGGGAGATTCTGAGGTTGAGATGATGCTTTTGAGATCTTTTGAGAACGGATGACGAGTTGAAGGAACGTATGGGAAAATGCTTGAAATCGAAAATGCCGTGTTTCCTGAAAGCATTGTGTTTTCCCAAAAAACAGCGTGTTATTGTAGGTATGACATTTTCATCGGTTTTGAGGCTCCTGGTAAACAGCCAAAACGAGCTGTACTCTAAAAAGACAGGAAATTGAAAGCATTTAGGGTAAGGCTCAACGCCTTCACGTGATGCCCGCTTTCACCTTCAACATCCTCTTGGTATCAGTTTGGCGCGCAGAAAACGGCGACGTCTTTTTTGAATGAGTCCGTTTGGGGCTTTCATTTCGGGATTCCCCTACTTTAGGGCACACTCTTTTCCCACAAAAGTGTTTCTCGCAGAATAAGCATAGGATCCAAACCATCGACTCCACAACGAACTTGCTCGAGGAGACACCTGTGGCTGAAGGTCCCCAGCAAGTGGTCTTGGCCGACGTTGAAGAGCTGCCTCTTTGCGGCTTCCCTTCATCGAAATTCGCCCAGGGCCAAAGAACGACAGACTTCCCTCGAGCTTCGCGATAGGTTCTGCGAGGCAGAAAGCCGTTTGAGTTGGACCGAGAAGCGGCAAACTCGCCAGTCCGAAAGGCAAGTTCCTCTTTAAAAAAAAAGCTTCAAGGAGTACGCCAAGCCAAACTTCCAGATGTCAATCTTAATTATCCGTCGGATGTTCAACGCATGGTGGTTACATATCATGTGTCAATCATGTGCGTGTGTGTCACCTTTCAGTTGAACATCCATGCTAGCAGGGCCATCGCGCCCTCAAGCTAGAGAACTTTTTCAAGCAGAGGTCCGGGACGAGGCTGGGCACTTGAAACTGGCCAACGGCCTTTCCGGCCGACGAACCAGTTCTGGCGTCGAACATCCCCAGTTGGGCATGTGTCAGAGTAGGGATTTGGACGCCAACAAATGGGCGCTGTTTTCCTAAAACAAGCGTGACAACGGGAATCCTCAAACACAACTTAAGGCGAAAACAACCCATGGCGGCGATGCAAATGGATGCTCAAACTTCGTTGCGGCCCCCTCCAAAATCCAAGAGGCAATTGAAGGCAATTGCACGAGCCCCCGCACGTGAGGAGGCGCCGGCGGGCGAGCGAGGGCTTCGCAAATGGGACGTCCACAGTCAAAACCAGGCCAAGTTCCATGTAAGGACATGAAAACCAAAGGCTGCATTAAAAAACTATCCGCGCCCGTGTCTGGGACCGTCCGCTATTCAATTTGCAGGTTTTTGGTTACGGCCTTGACAGTCACTGAGCCAGGCTGGTTAGTTCCAGGCGCATCGGCGTGACCATGCTGTGAGGCAGCATTGGATTGGCACTTCTTTAGTGAATGCCAAGCCGGGCAGTCCCGGTGACGGTACATGTTGCTGCGAATTTGAAATCCGACATGGTACCGTGTGACGGTGAGAAACACTCAACCAGGCGTCAACTCTGCCCCGAAGCGGTAGATCCCTTCGACCCTTCAATATCTTCCAGTCGAATTCCCCTAGAAAGCAATCTAATCCTCTCGAAAATCGAGCCAACTCCGCCCCAAGAAACGAGTCCAGTCAAAATTCCCCTAGCAGCCGGTAACTCCTTAGTAGATAACTTCGGCCCTCCACCGATCATACCTGGTCACGGGCGAAATTTCAGCTCAAGGTTGGTAGCAGGTTTTTTAACAATAAACAGCCAAAACGAGTTGTACTCTAAAAAGACAAGAAATTGAAAGCATTTAGGGTAAGGCTCAACGCCTTCACGTGATGCCCGCTGTCACCTTCAACATGGTAACAGTTTGGCGCGCAACAAAAAGTGTGACGTCTTTTTTGAATCTGGCCCTCTGGGGTTTTCAAGGCTAAGCCATTTCGGGATTCCCCTACTTTACAACACATTTTCTCCCAAAACGATCCAAAGCATTGACTCCAGGCGCTTGTCAGTCAGCTCCGGGGAAGATACGAATTTGCTCGAGGAGACACCTGTGGCTCAAGGTGCCGGTTTTGGCCGACGGTGAAGAGCCGCCATCTTTGCGGAAAGCTCGAAATAAAGGATGTGATGCTGCTTTCCGGAGTCAGATGTTTCCACAGATGAGGAACAACAAAGCAAATCGGAAACGCTTCTTTTTGGCTTCACGGCACCATCCACAAAGGCGCCTACAAAGCAAAAAAACTTCCCTAAAACAAGCCTTGCGGGTTTAACAAGCAAAAAAGACTTCCCTAAAACGCAGCATAACGAGTTCCTTCCATCGAGCTGAGGCAGAAAAGGCGTATGAGTTGCACCAGGACCAAGACGCGACAAACTTGCCATTCCGAAAGGCAAGCTCCTCTTTTAAAAAACGTCAAGGAGCACGGCAACTCAAACTTCTAGATGTAAACTGCTTGGATGTTCAACCTGCTTAGTTCATGTGACAAACGCATGGCTGTTACAGGACCTCTCAGTTGAACATCCACGCCTAGGACGATGCAGGGCGCAGGAGCTCCGCTCCGCTTGGTTTCTACGTCGTATTCGGAGCCGCGCAAGCCGTATCACTTCAAATCTCCCATATGCGGCGTGGCTGTGCGTCAAACTTTAAGAACCTCACAAGACAAAAACCACGAACGATGACCTGATTACCGCTGCCACAACATGCCACAACCTATCACAAACGAAGTCGACGTGTGAACTCATGCGATCGTTTGACATGGCTGCCCCACACAAAGAGGAATCTTGGTCTTCCTCGACGCCCGTGCGTCACGTGAGACACGATGGGTCAGCCAGCGCAGCACTCCAGCCGTGAATCAAACGGGTGGATGCCACGTCGCGCTGCAAACCTTCCAACATGCAGACCAGCCGCCCAACTAAGCAGGCAGCATCCGGCCAAATGGAGACCAGGACAAAGTGTCACACACCATCACCCCCCGCACTGTGCACAGCAGGGGCGCGCACTACAGCAAAGCTGCAAAAAACAGAAAGCTGCAGCACAAACGCCACGCCTGAAGACCTCCAGCACACGCAAGGTAGGCGAAGGAATCCACGCACCGCGCAAGGACCACGAAGAACACCAACCCACTCAGTCATTTGCACCACCAAAAGCGGAGCAGAAGAAGAACGCGGCCGTGCTGCATTCTCCAGTTCTCGGATTTCTTTCCGGCCCCTGGCGTTTGGGCCACAATGGCAGATGCGGCTGCAGCCTGGTGGAGCTACAGGGCTGTGGACGTGTCCACCTCTGCACTCGCGCGCCACAGCTTCCTAAAGCTTGGCTTCCGTCTTCCTTTAGCCCACCAAAACGTGTTTTCGATTCAGGAAGCACCTAATTTTTGGCAAGCAAAACGGACCCCAGCCACATCTCAGCGCTTGCAAACGTTGCCAGCCACCAGCGCTTGCAGCTCCTGCAACTCCCGCAAGGCCAACTCAAGCTGCGCCGCCTCAAATGGCAACGTCTGGCTGGATCAAACTGTGCGTGGGCTTCCTTTTCCAATGACCCTGAAAAATTCAGGCTAACATGAAGACATGAAGCTCCGGCCTCATTGATTCAGCGATTAACCTCTTGCTCACCCACTCGCGCGAATCAAAGTACAGCCCTTTGAAATGTTCTCCCCGGCACTTGTTTTCGTGAATCCCCCCCCAAAGAAACAATCGCCGGAGTGTGCACGCAATAAACAACCTTGAAGTTATCAAATATCTTCGCACCTGCAGTTGCGAGCCTCTCGCAATCAGCGTACCAACTTTCCCCTCGCGCGCGGAATTGTACAAGGAGGGCCGAGGTGCGGAGGGCCAGAGCAGCAGCAGGTGCCGGAAGGACAGATGGCCCAGGTTGCGCCGGAGCTGCAAGATCTGGGAAAGCAATGGAAGAAGTTGAAACCAAGCCATTCCAGCAAATTGTATCAAATGGTGAGTGTTGGGTTGGTCGCTGAAAGTTCTGTAAGGCCTCTACAAGGATGTTCCTGCGAGTCTCCTACAAGAATTCCTGTCTCGCGTCGTAGCTGCCCACCACGACTCATGGTTTCCTTCGCAGGAAACCGCGCTTTTGCCCAAATGGGGTCTTGCAGTTGCGGGAATTGGCTTTGGTATTCTACCGCAAAACCTTCCCGAGAAATTCTTGGCGGCTTGATTGAACATGAAAGCCAGCTCCAGCCAGCAAAAGCGTCAGTTGGCACACCCAACTGCAAAGATGTTCGACTGACCAGACTTGACCAAAGCGGAGAAGATCCCGGTCGTGGAACGCGTGAATGACAAACATGTTGCTATCAACCACCAACCTGCTAGACAAGCGCGCTCTTGGACTCCGTGCTAGGATTGGCGGGGGCCCATTGGTATTCAAGCCTCAAAAGAACATGGGGGAAGGGGGCACACTCATTAGTTCATTTTGGCCAAGGGAAGGCACGAATCTGAATCCATGAAGTGTTGGCAATATCCAATGAAAGTCGCGTGGCAGTTGGTATGGGCCTCTGAACGCTTTAGGATAACCACACACGCAAACACAAACTGCACAAATGAGCTGCATGCATGTAATGTGAGTTCATGGCCTTTTCTTCTTGTCCAATACAGGGTTCGGGAGTATATTCTTTCGGGTTCCCCACATGAAAAGTTGAACAATTTACTGGTGGCATCCATTGACATGGGGCCCTGGAAGTCCTCACCCTGTTGTTGTGAAATTTAGAAAGCAATTTCACCAAATTTCAGAAGCGCAAGGGAATCATATATGAAGCCCCAACATAATTACCGTAACATTTTCTGGTTTCTGGCACTGTGAAGCTTGGCAACTCCTAGACCGCAGGTCAGCACCTTTGGGCTCCAGCATGAAATGTCCCTCCCTGCAGCAACAAGCGAATTGTGACCTGCGCATGCCAAGAAAACTACACATCCATCCACAACCGGAAGGCGTTCCGAAGACTCGCGGACATCTTGGTGAGGACCTCGGCTCTCATCATCTCTGTTGGCATCCGGCCGCAAATGCCGGCACGCTTCCACCCTGTGGCCTGTGGATGCTATCCCCAGGCTCAAAGAGCTCGCTCATGAAGCAGCCCTCACGATCCTCCGCCTTGTCCAGACTCGCTAGCGAAAAACTCGCTGGCGCCTGTATGAACTCCAAAATGGAGACTGGCAACTCCGCAGAAGGCTACCCTGGCCTTTGCCTCCAGGCGCATTGGAATCGCCGTAGCAGACCAGGATCATCGGTAGTCGATCGGGATGATCGTCATGTCCGGGTTGGGCTGGCCTTGATGGTGCGGTTGATGTGCTGGAGGTCCTTGCCCGCGAGGTCGTGCTTACTTCTGAAACACAAAGTCGTCTTTTTGCCAGGCCACGCGTGTACATACTAGCGTGTCGGGGCATTCCTTGGTGGAATGGCTCGCCATGGCGTCTCACACTTCAAGGCCTGCCACAGAGCGCGCTTCAAACCACCGTCGTCTGGTTTCGTCCTGACCGCCTCGTTTTCCTCTGCTAAACGTTGTTGGTCTTGCTGAAGAGTGACGGGAACTCCTGTGAAGCGCCGTCCCGACAGGCTCGATGAGCTTGACCGCGCCCACGACGGAGTAACCAGACCTCTTCAGGCTTATGAAGACCGCACAGGCAGATTTGCTGTGACACCGAAGCTGATTTTTTTGGAGGTTCAGGAGCATGATCAATCACGAGCACATTCACCGGCTGGTCCAACCTGCTGGTGTTCTCGGAATGCTCCCGCTTGACATCTTGAACCTCCTCCAGCACCTGCTCGGCACTTCTTGCGCACAGCAAATGCCAGAGCCAACCGTTGCTGTCCTGGTAATCCACGAGGAAGCTCGCAAAGGGATATGTGGATGCCGAAGTCGTTCGACGCTCCACCATCATCTTAACCGGCGGCTCTTCCAGCAAATTGTGCACCAGGAAGGAACGGACCTCATTGCTGCTGTTGCTGACGAACTTCATTGAGCTTCCGTGTCGGTGAAGTCGGCGCACATGCACCCCCAGCAGATGCGCTGGCCGTTCTCAATCATCTTCCAGACACCCAACATTGTTTGCAGCAGCTGCGCGCGTCGGCCAGCAAGGCCTGATGTGGCGTGTCTCCGGGCTGCGGCGCCTGTTCCTGAAGCGCCTGCTTTACCAAGACCCAAACTCAGTTGGTGCTGAAGACGTCATGCCGAAGCGGATGTGCTACCTGATTTCGCGGAAGATGCCGTCCGAGATCATTTGGCCTCGTGCCAAATCCTGCCGCTCCCCGGGAATGTTCCTGATCGGGGCTCGTGCTCCCAAATAAAGTGCATCGCCCACAGGAAAAACAAAAACAAAAACCTTCTTCTTCCTCCTCCGGTCTGTGCGCCAATGAAAGCCTCCTCATTGTCCCAGCCCGCGCCGGCACCTGCCGGGGGCTCTTCTCCAGCGCCACCGGAAACCGCAGCGCTACCAATGGCACTGTGGAGCCTGGCAACTCCTAGATCTTCCCGCAGGTCACCCTGCTTTTGGCTTTTGGGCTCCAGCATGAAATGTCCCTCCCTGCAGCAACAAGCGAATTGTGACCTGCACATGCCAAGAAAAGTACACAATGGCAGTTTCAACTGACCCTTTCGCAAACCTTCCGGCGCCCGCTCGCGACCTTTCGCGCGCGCAGCGCCAGAACACGTGAATATGCCCCTTACTTAGCTTTTGGACATTGGTTTTTGATCGTCGCCCATTTCGCGTTGCAGCGAGAGGAACCCCTGAGACGCAAGTCTCTCGACTCGCCCCAGCCTGCCACGAGGGAGCCGCTGCGCGAGCCGAGGTGAGGCTGAACAAACGCGTCCTCAGTGTGAGGTCAGGCTGAAGGCGAGCCACGGGAAAAGGACACGCCTTTCCAATCTATCCTTGTGGGCTTGCAAGAAACTGGCTCTGTTTTCTGCAGCCCCCCCCAAAAAATATATGTTCAGAACCAAAAAATCTAAAAGCCTACAACATGCCAACAACAGCAATGAAACTTCATTCAACAAGAAACCCCCAAGAAAAAACGCCTGAAATCTCCTGAAGCAGGCTGAAGTCACCACGGAGGTTGACCCCAAACACTCAGCCAACCCTTGCAGTATCTCAGTGCCTTGTAAACCTCAGCCGCTGCAACCAGCACCGTCCATACCCAAAATGGCTCAAGAGCCTTGCAAATGGACCAGCCTTCGGTGGTAGTCAAGTGAGAAAACAGCGTAAGCTCTTGACAACAATACTCCCGCCAGGGAAGAACCTCTGCAGATCAATGCATCCCACTCCTGGGAGATCGACAAACCCAGAGTCATAAAACATCGTCGCACACACTCCCCGGGAAAACAACATGGACCTCCCAAAAACTGGTTGTGCTATGAAAAATGGTTCGCTACTCTTAACACAATGGAGTTCTATATAAACGGCAACCCAAACAAGTTGCGACAAAAGTGGCAACCACAAAAGCGGCATCCTCAAAAAGCAGGATTCGCCAAACAAAAAGTCGAAACCTCAAAACCAAAGTATCCCGCGCGCAAAAAGACCATGACCGTTGGTCCTTCAACAGGGTGGTGTCCAAACCACGGACCAAAAAAGGGAACAGAGCCAAACTCCCCAAAAAGTAAGCCCAGGTGGTATCCCCAGCAGCCCTGGAACTGCGGAACCCTCCCTGAAAAGCTGCTCCAAACTTTCTGGGCCTGATTTCTTGTTCTTTCCAAAACCGGCCGTTTTCCATGGGTTTCCAGAGGTTTTGTAGAAAGAAGGATCCCTGGAAAGAATGGGGAAGGTACCTAGAATTGGGGAGAAAAACATGTGTCGGTCTCGCATTAGGCGAAAGGGAGCGAAACATCCAAGGACCCCAACCGCAGCCACTGTGGATCCAGATTCAGTTGAGTCACAATCAAACCCCTTTGTATTAAAATGGTCGTAATCCCAGAACCATGCTTCAAGAATTAAGAAGGCGGAAATTTCCGCAGCTATTTGTGTTTGGGATTGTCCCTTAACCTTCATCTACCCAGAATTTGAGCACGTGGCTCTGAACATTCTGCACCGATGCCTAACTGCTCCAAGCAAGCGCCTTGAGCGGAGCTACCACTTGCGGCCTCTCTCTTGGGGTGAAACAGAAAGGTGGGGTCCAAGTGGGTCAGAGATGATGAAAACGGTGAGTCAAATTGGTAAAAGCATTGCGGAAATCAAGATTTGGATGAGTCCACGCCCGGATGTTTCAATGCTACTCTATGGCGTAGTCTCAGATGCCCAGTGGCCATGGGAAAAAACAGGGCATCCGTTTTTTGTTGGTTGAGTTTAAAAGGGAACTCTTACCAAAAAAGGAAAAAGGGCACCAGTGGGCAACAGAGTACTCTACCTGGTGCCAGAAACATCCAACCAATGATTCCGACCCTTCACTGGGACGCCAATTGCCACAAAGCCCCGGCAACCGCCATGTTGCTTGCTACTGCTACCGCGATTTCTGGCTGAAAGTGTGGCTGTCTGGGAGTGCAACTTCCTCGTAAATCTCGTATACAAGGATGGTTCGAAAAAAACACGCACGGTACCTCCACATGAGTGGCCACAGCCCCCACTCCCAAAGCAAAAGACAAAGCGCGGGTTCCCCTCACAATCTGGGCCACCTGGTTCCTCACCCCCCCCCCCCACTTTTGCGCTTGCTCCAGGATATTTAATCAAACGGAAACTCAACACAACATCTGACTAGCTCAAATAGAAACACACATAAAAATATCAAAAAGAAGCTTAACTACACCAAATAAAACTCAAACAAACAATACTAGATCACATAGAAACTCAAAATCTCAGAAGGAAGCTCCAGCAATACTAGATCAAATTGACACTCACATCAAAATCTCAAGAAAAGGAAGACCTAGCAATTCTAAATCAAATGGACAACTCCAATCTGACTATCTGTGGAGTCATGTTGCCCGAGTAGCGTCCAATGCTAGACGAGTTTTTGCCATACTATTTGGAGGTCAAGGTGTTTTTGTGCGGATAATTTTGACCTTGTCTACCTGGTCCATCTTTGGGGTATGAATCTGAGGCTGGCATTATTGGAGTGCAACGTTTCAAGGAAGTGCATCAAAACGGCCAAGGTTGTGCTAAAATATTGAGGGTATCCTAGAGTCAAACTTGGAATCGAAGCACATCAAACATGGCACAAAAGGAGTGTTCTAAGAGACCAAGCATATGGGTGTGTCATTCTGCAGGGTGCCCCAAAACAGCGGTGTTCCTTTTCGTGTCCCTTGTTGTTTTCTTCGAGGATGGCTTTTGAAGGTCCAAGTAATGTTGACCCCATACTCATCACCCCCAGTTATGCGGGGGTCTTCTTTTCCAAAGGTGGTCTGGTTCCAACCACATTTCACCCAGAATCAGAGAAGCACCCCCTTCAAATTCAGGAGGTAGACCGATCCTCTCCTTTTGGTTCATGACGCCCAGGGCGCTCCAGGCGGCTCAGCAAGCCATCCGCCTCCTGCAGCTCCTTGGCCCTGCGAACGAGCGACGTTCCAAGCGACGTTGCCTGGAACGAAGCCAGGCGCCTTAAAAGACACCTTCCTCATTCCCTGACTTGTTCGCAAGTTTGGCCGTTGATCCTCATTCCCTGACTTGTTCGCAAGTTTGGCCGTTGATCCTCATTCCCTGACTTGTTCGCAAGTTTGGCCGTTGATCCTCATTCCCTGACTTGTTCGCAAGTTTGGCCGTTGATCCTCCTTCCCTGACTTGTTCGCAAGTTTGGCCGTTGATCCTCATTCCCTGACTTGTTCGCAAGTTTGGCCGTTGATCCTCATTCCCTGACTTGTTCGCAAGTTTGGCCGTTGATCCTCTGATTCCCTGACTTGTTCGCAAGTTTGGCCGTTGATCCTCATTCCCTGACTTGTTCGCAAGTTTGGCCGTTGATCCTCATTCCCTGACTTGTTCGCAAGTTTGGCCGTTGATCCTCATTCCCTGACTTGTTCGCAAGTTTGGCCGTTGATCCTCATTCTCTGCCTCATTCCCTGACTTGTTCGCAAGTTTGGCCGTTGATCCTCATTCCCTGACTCGTGCGCAAGTTTGGCCGTTCATGCTCATTCCCTGCCTCATTCCCTGACTTGTTCGCAAGTTTGGCCGTTGATCCTCATTCCCTGACTTGTGCGCAAGTTTGGCCGTTCATCCTCATTCCCTGCCTCATTCCCTGACTTGTTCGCAAGTTTGGCCGTTGATCCTCATTCCCTGACTTGTGCGCAAGTTTGGCCGTTGATTCTCATTCCCTGACTTGTGCGCAAGTTTGGCCGTTGATCCATCTTCCCTGACTTGTGCGCAAGTTTGGCCGTTGATCCATATTCCCTGACTTGTTCGCAAGTTTGGCCGTTGATCCTCATTCCCTGACTTGTGCGCAAGTTTGGCCGTTGATCCTGATTCCCTGACTTGCTCGCAAGTTTGGCCGTTGATCCTCATTCCCTGCCTCATTCCCTGACTTGTTCGCAAGTTTGGCCGTTGATCCTCATTCCCTGACTTGTTCGCAAGTTTGGCCGTTGATCCTCATTCCCTGACTTGTTCACAAGTTTGGCCGTTGACCCTCATTCCCTGACTTGTCGCAAGTTTGGCCGTTGATCCGCATTCCCTGACTTGTGCGCAAGTTTGGCCGTTGATCCTCATTCCCTGACTTGTGCGCAAGTTTGGCCGTTGATCCTCATTCCCTGCCTCATTCCCTGACTTGTTCGCAAGTTTGGCCGTTGATCCTCATTCCCTGACTTGTGCGCAAGTTTGGCCGTTGATCCTCATTCCCTGCCTCATTCCCTGACTTGTTCGCAAGTTTGGCCGTTAATCCTCATTCCCCGACTTCTTCGCAAGTTTGGCCGTTGATCCTCATTCCCTGACTTGTGCGCAAGTTTGGCCGTTGATTCTCATTCCCTGACTTGTTCGCAAGTTTGGCCGTTGATCCTCATTCCCTGACTTGTGCGCAAGTTTGGCCGTTGATCCTCATTCCCTGCCTCATTCCCTGACTTGTTCGCAAGTTTGGCCGTTGATCCTCATTCCCTGACTTGTGCGCAAGTTTGGCCGTTGATCCTCATTCCCTGACTTATTCGCAAGTTTGGCCGTTGATCCTCATTCCCTGACTTGTTGGCAAGTTTGGCCGTTGATCCTCATTCCCTGACTTGTTCGCAAGTTTGGCCGTTGACCCTCATTCCCTGACTTGTGCGCAAGTTTGGCCATTGATCCTCATTCCCTGACTTGTTCGCAAGTTTGGCCGTTGATCCTCATTCCCTGCCTCATTCCCTGACTTGTTCGCAAGTTTGGCCGTTGATTCTCATTCCCTGACTTGTTCGCAAGTTTGGCCGTTGATCCTCATTCCCTGACTTGTTCGCAAGTTTGGCCGGTTTCTGAGTCAAAAAAAAAGAGCGAGCGCCCCGGCGTCTGGCATCAGGGGCCAACCCACTCCGAAATCATCAACTAAGGGCCGCACGATCATGTGAAACAACTCCCAAGAGTTTTTATGGTGTGCTGAAAATCTGAACAAATGGGGGTGCAAAGCGCAAAAAGAACCCATTTGCGATGAGCTTGGCCTCCCTACCCAAAAAAAGTTGTAGGAGAAACTGCCCGGTAGGGAATGAATGGGCAGCCCTTTAAAACGAGGGCGGGCCGGCGGGTGATCCTTGGGATTCAATTGCATCTCAAATTCCGGGAACCTGTGGTTCGAATCACCCCAAAAAGCTAAAACTAATTGAAACTGGAGACCAAGAAAACCTGACTTCCCTTGATCTGGCCGGTTCCCCTTGCTTCCTTTTCACCTTTAGGTTTGTCAAGTTTTGGGAACCGGGGTTGTTTTCCTTTGGACATCCCTTTCAAGCCCACCGAACACAGGGTGTCCGCAAAAAAAACTGGCACCCCCAAGCATTAAAAGAGCTGAAGACAAATTTAAAAAGGGTACCCTAACAAGAAACAACGACAAAAAACAACACACCATTGAGGCAGGTGTGTCCGGCGCTCCTCAGGAACGGCAAGATGAGCGCCAGACGATCCGCCTCCCCCAACTGCTGAAGGAGCTCCCGCTGCCGCCTACCTTGAAGCACAAAGCCGGAGCCGAGAGCACCGGCAGTCGACACAAAGAGAAGGGTATGCAAAATTGAACAGCTGGAAATGGCGCTCCGCAGGTGTTGCTCCTTCTTTCCCATTTACCCTTTGGTGCGAGTTTGGGTACTTGTTTCTGAGCCACAGCCAAATAGAACACAACAACTGCGATACTTCCATTTGCTTATGTCCACTGGCCAGTAATGCAATCGACTCCCTTGAAAACCAACAGGAGAGAATAATTCATATTCTTAAACAAAACACTTTAGAGACGTAGAAACCAGCACTGCCCCCCCCCAAAAAAAATAAATAAAAATCAAACAGCTAGCGGATCCTACATTTGGTTTTGGACGGAAAAAAAGCCGTTGGGCCGGCGCTGGAACACACAGCTTCCGGATCGCCGCTCTTAGAGCCCGGTGGTTTTCCCATGCAAAACCCGTCCAGGGCTTCAATTGACCGTCTAGGTCCTCCAGTAGAGAGGTTGGAACAAGGGTACACTCTTTTCTCTGTAGTCTATTTTAGTAGGGGAACCCTCCCCCCAAAAAGGGTAAAAGGGCACTACTGGGGGACCTAGATGTTGTGCCCAAAAGAAGCAGCAGCTCGAACGCTTGCCTGCGTGTTGTTTTCAGTCACCAAATTGGTGCGGAACCCATTTGACGAATTTACCCTGTTGTTGACACAACTGGGAGTTTCTCAAAATGGTCCAGAAGGCAGAAACACAGGGGAAAACAAAATAGCAAACCAAGCATTTCGGGGACCTCCATTTCGAGCAACCTCCCAACGTTGTTTTCTGAAAAACCCGCCAAATCTGGTTTGAGGAACCCTCGCAGGAATCAAGCCTCACACAAATGGGAGCAGCCCGGCCCGCCTTTCTGGAAATCCGGACGGGGGCGGTGTTTCCCCCCCCGCGTTTTTTCTTCTCCGCTTGTCGGAAGGCATTGGTTCTCCTCTGATTTCTCCTCAGAGCCCCTTATGCTTCCAAAGCCTAATTAAAAAATAGACGTTGTGACAAGCCTGTGTTTTTGACAAAGACTATTTGACGACGAGAGTCAGCCTCCGTTTTGGACTGAAACCAGGGCTAAAGACTTGACGCTAAGACCACTCCACAGGATCCCAAAGCCAGGGCGTGAAATGGGTTGTAAATAACTTGCCCAGATCAAGGCGTCCTTTGTGTTGCGGGGAAAACCAAAGCTCGGCGCGAAAGCAACACCGGTTCAGACCCGTCTGGTGAGAGTTGACCATTTCCAGGTGGTTCGCTTCAATTTTCCGAGAACACAACTTTGACAGCTTGACAAACAGACGCGGGAATATACTGTGGATGGACGAAATCCTGCACCACCTGAGAAACCCTGGAATGATGCTTCCAACGTAAATAATTACCAACAAACAATGGCTTCAACCATGGTGTCTTAGGTGGTGCCGGATTTCGCCCATCCACTGTATTGCTGTCTCAGGACCCGTTTAGCCAAGGCTTCGACATCGAAGCCGATCATCTCTCGGGCTGCCAAGGGAGTTTACAGCGCGACCCTCCTCGAGCGCAGTAAAAGCTTCTTTCTTCCTGCTTTTGCCTTTTTTTGGGTGGGAGGGAGTGGCCCTCTCAAAACGAGTTCAAAAGGCTACCCCTGACTCAACTCTGTCAAATGACATGCCCAACTCGAACAGGTTGAACGAACAAATCCTGGCTTCACTGATATCTTTTGCATCCATCAGAGGCGCCGAGCTTCGTGTGCTTGTCGTGGTCTTTGTGGCAAAAGTTGCCTCAAGAATTCGAAAATGAGGGGGTTTGTGGGTTGTCTCACATCCTGAGTGGACTGGCCAACAAAAATATTCACTTTGTATTTTTCCACTAAAAAAAAACAAAAGTTTAAAGTCCATAAGCTCAAGAAGTGGGTTGTTGCGTCTGGGGGAATTGGGCCCAATGATCCAAGCGGCCGGAAACTTGAAAGTTGGGACGAGCTTTGGGTTGGGGTGGCCATTGAAAGTGGATTCAGGTTGAGGGACCGGGTCCCAAGTAAGTGGCGCCTTTTCTTTTTTTTTCAGTCGGGGAATCTAAGGCTGGGAGGGCAGATTCACGGAAGCCAATTTCTTCCGCAAAGAGAAACGATTTGCAATTCACAGGTACCCTGCTGATTTCATCAGAAGCCATATGAAGCTAAATTCCTTGGTCAGACTTTTTCCTCGGGAAAACAGAAATCAGTCGCGACCCCGTTTTTTTTTTTCGGAGCCATCGATCTGTGCCCTCGGTTTGGCATGGGTCCAATCCGGGAGCAAATGACAAAGGGACGAAGAAGGACAAACCACCCCCCGCCCCCCCCCCCCAACCCCCCAGAACCTTTCCAGGGTGGGGAGGCTCTAATGTCTCTCTTTATTCTTCAATTTTGGTCCAACTTGTTTTGACACAATACGCAAGAGAGGAATCACCTGCGCAATCCAGCAAAGTGAGGCTTCCCCACGCGCGCGGAACGAACGAGTCTCCAGGTCAAAACCGACTCAAATGAAACCTGTATTGTATAAACTGTACAAATACCTGAGACAACACTTGGGCATTCTTCTTACCAAGAGCCAACCTCAAGCCCCCTGAGCAATCCTTTACCCAAGCAAGCGGATTATCAAGAAGAATCACCACGCAGTGATGTCCTTCCAATTGGAGGAGTTGCCTTCCTTCTGCCACATCTTCCTTCGGCCAAAAGGAATCCACGACATTTGTTTGTCTCGTTTCGGTTTTTTTGGGTGGGGGTTGCCACGGATCCGGATCCGATGGTGCGGATGTCGGACGGCCGGAACTGTGTCTTGACAAGGCCGGCCCCCTCCCAAGGGTCTCAGAATGGGAAGCTTCTAAGAACTCACTTGCCCAAAGGACCCAGAAATAAAAGGCTAACCTTTTGGGGCCATGACTAAGACTAGACCAAAAAGGAAAAACCAAAAGGTCAAAAGGTCGGCTTTGGGCAACTGAGAGAATCTTTCGGGTGAAAAAGCCCGGGGGAAGCGTCTGTCCGAACAAAACGCCCGATTCCGAACCCCGATCAGAATCGTCTTCCCTCTCAAACATCCAAGCTGGAGGTCACCCCAAAACTTTCCATCGGTCGGAATGTGAAATACAACTAAGCGCGCTTCTGGGGCCGCCCGTTTGGAGAAACACGTCTCAGCGCCCACGAAAAGAAATGATACCAGCATAGACCCCGATGGCAAGAATGTGCTGTCAACGACCTAGAGACTCCCATTCCGCTACAGAGACTCCCGTGCCAAGCCAACCGGCAGAGCGGCCAAACTAAATCTCACAACGGAGTGCTCCAGCTTCCCAGAGCCTTTGCCAACGCCAGCAAACAGGGCTCCGCCAAGAAGCGCCCTGCAGCAGCACCCCCGCGCATCTCTGAGTGGCACCCTGCAACAGCACCTGCGCAAATTTGAGTTGCGCTGCAGCAGCACAATCTCGGCACCCTGCAACAGTGCCTTGCGCAACTCCGAGTCTCGGCCTTCAGCAGCATGCTGCAACCTGGCCAGAATCCTGAGCCTCACCCACCCCTGCTTTACTCGTAGTTGGCCCACGGGTCATATTGCGCCGTGCGTCATTCAGCCGAGTTGCATGTTTTCGTGGGTAAGGCGGGGGGGGGGGGTGAGGCCCACTGCCCCAGGTGCCTATCCCAGAAGGGAACTGGTACCCTGTGGTAGTAGAGGTCGTTGGTCCCTGGATCTATTCCGGAGAGAGTCCAATATGCCAATGTGGATGATTGGAGGATGGATTGTCCCTGGTGGATTGTCTTGTGGATAATCCTGTAAGCGGCCTGCAAAGGTTCCTTTGCTTCACGCGATCATTGATGATGCAATGATATACACAAAAGGGGCCTTGAGCCAAATGGTTGCGGGAGATCAACTGGATTGGGAAACAACCACCAAACAGACACAAATTTCTTTTGATCTCCAGCACTAAGTATGAAATACTATTGGCTTCATGGCCTTTGGCCGTAGCCTTTGATGTGTGCCGTAGCCATGCTGTGTGCCGTAGCCATGTGTATTAAAAATGCCGGATTCATCCTCTTTCTGCTCGGATGAAATGTCTTGGCTTTCGAAATGGAAAACACTATGTACTGCTTCTTTTCGAGATACCTAGATGTATCAAAGGGTGATGTACAACGCTATGTACACGAGGGACGATTGTGAAACTATTGATCTCTCACTCATGGTATAGTCTTGTAGACGGCGAGGATCAATCATCTGAATTGAGTTCGTGGTGCTGAACGTATGAATCTTCATGGTCAGTCGGATCGACGATACCATTGGCGGCTGCTGTCGGATTGACTGCCATAGTCTCCATAATCATTCCAGGTCGAGTTGCTATAGTCCTTCCACTGCTTCTGACGTCCCCACTGCTTGTTGTAGTCCTTGTACTCCTGCGGGGTCCAGGGTTGTTTCTTCTTGATGTACTCCTGGTATCTCTCAGCGCTGCGTTTACTGGTTGCAGATTTGCTGCGGATGTACAGCATGAGAGGACTGTGAGAGTCGGAGTCCTGCGAGCCATTCATGAACATGTCATTGTTCACGTGCTTAAAGCGCTCTGCGGATGAGACCTGGTAATCGAATATGGCCTTGGTTGGATGGTTCTGCATGAATTCCAGTTGTTCATCATCCATGCCGTTCATCTCGTCCTTCCTGGATGTTCGTTTTGCCCCAGCCAAATACGAAAGTCATCATCACGTCTGGGAATGTTCGATCATATCCTGATCCACACTTCATGTACAAGTGATGACGGATAATGGATTTTAGGGTGCACGAAGTCTCCATTGCATACTCCATTCTGTCCACGAGTGGCAAATCTTTCGTTTCATTCCACAGTCTCTGATATTCTCTCATGAGGATGTTCACGAGACCGTTGGCCGGATTGAAGACGTGCTGGAGTTTGCTGTAGGTGTTCGCTGATTTGTTGGCGTCTCCGGTGATCGCATGGCATCGGTACAAAGTCACGAGCGGCATGATTTCATTTTGAAGATCTTCCCTTGCTGCTCCATGGCTAATTGAAGGATGGATGTGGAAAACTCCAATGGTAGCGAATGGGAGATCTGCCCTCGTTATGTGGCGGTCGTCATACTCATGGAGTGACTTGTTGGATGATTTCGGGAGCATGCCACGAAACTCATCACTCTGCTCGATGTGGAGAACGACGATCTCCTTGTCTCGGCCATGTCCTTGGACAATGGTGCGTGTTGGCAATCTCGGTCCAATGTACTTCTTGGATTCAGAAAACATGGATGGTCCTGTAGTTGCCAAGCAATCCGAGGTCGAAATTTCGTATTCGGGATCAGTGCAACTTCCTTCAGTTCCGAAGAAACATCTGAACATTCCGAATGTGGTTCCCCAATTCTGGCTCTTGGTGGAAATGTGTCTTGCCAGAAGTTCCACTCTTGCAGAAGGTCCGCCACGGACAAAGCATGCGACCGGTCTGGATGACCACTGCTTGATCACGATGCCCTTGTAACGTCTTGATGAGCTCCCTGGATTTCTCATCATTAGGACTGAAGAATGCGTCTGCTTCATTCAGGCATAAGATGTGTGCACTGTTCTGCATCATCATCTTTACGATTGGTCGATCCTTCATCGGCATGTTGTGCACCTCCCTGTTGTCCAGCTTTGGATTCCTCGCGAGGTTTCCATGGTTCAGGGTAAGCATGTTGATTGCTATGGATGAGGTGAACTCATGCATGTTGAGATAGTCCACAGGAGGACGGTCGGTCGGCTGCATCAGCGATCCCAGGATATCGGCATAGGCTCGGATGATTTTCGGGTCGTCATGTGACCTGAGCTTCTTCAATCCAAGCGGAAGCTTGATCGGATATCCGGATCCTGGTTGAGCTTGCTTGTACTCGTCAATGGTGGGACATTCTCCTCGATGAGGGAAGTAGAATTCTTCTTCTCCGAGATTGACATCGGGATCGACATGTGCCAATGAGGCTCTCTCGCACTCTGTCAAGTTGGGATGAGCTCTTCTTGGATCTTTGTTGAACTTGTCCATGAAGCGGGAAAGGTTAGCCTTGGTCTCCGCGAGCTCTTCCTCTGCGTCCTTTTTGTTCAAATCTGTTTCGAGATAGATTCCCTTGAGTTCTTGGATGAACTCATCTAGGTTCTCTGAATTGTGATATTCCACGGTGACTTTTGGCTTGACGGATCTTTCCCCGGAGGGTTCCATCGTCTCTTCTTCAGCTTCTCCCTGATCGGTGGAATGCCGTCTCTTCTTGGTCTCTGAGGAAGTATCTTTTTCCTTGCTGTGCTTGGTGGAATTCACATAATTCAAGAAGGCATCGGCAAATTCGCGGATCTTGGTGTCGTACATCTCGTAATCTTCATGACTGAGATGCTTCTTCATGATCCACTTGTTGCTCGCCATGAGGCTGCCATCAGGTTCAAATGCTGCAACGATGTTCCTTGCCTCGATGGTTTTGTCTGTCAACGCTGTTCGCTCTTCGGAGAGTCGGATGCCATAGTCATGGTCCTTGAGGAATGCAAGGATCAACAGTGCATCTCTTCCTGCTGGCACATGGGTCAATGCGGCTTCTGACTCATCGTCGTCAAGGATGACGTCATCGATGCATGCCATGTGGACGTGCATTCTCCCCGAAGGGTTTGACTGGGATTTCCCAGATTTGAGCCCGTGCTCCATGATGCTGAAAAGCTGATTTCCATAGGTTGCATGGAACATGAATGTGATGGGCTTCTTCGCGAACGGCTTGATTTTTCTCTCTTCTTCAATGGATGGTGGTGCCGGCCTT